CACACACACACATATATACACACACCATGTAAACACACATTGCAAAATCGGAGTCCATTGCACCTAACATGTTATCTTTCTCTCACCTATATATATTTATTGTCTCTCGTTGCCCGTATTCGACTGCAATGATCAACAGTTCAACATCAAAGGTCTGCGAACACGGCTTTTGTTGCAGAGAGTATATATGTGAAAGCCAGGGGGAAATGTTTGTTTTTCTCGGCGCAGCGCCATTAAAAATTCTAAAAACGTATCCCCTTCGAACTTTGTATTCAATCCCCATCATGGCGGACGGAGGGTTACGCACTTACCTAGTTTTGCCGGGCGCTTTATTTTTTATTTTTATTTTTATTTCTTCTTCTTCTTGTGTTTTCGTTTTTTTTTGTGTGTTTTTTTTTGGTGGGGGGAGGGATGGAGGGGGTATTTTGCTTTTGTTTTTTTCTTTCTTTCTTTCTTTTTCTTTTTGTCCTTGTTTTTTTCGTCTTTTTTCGATTTGTTTGTTCATTATTTAACTGATATTCTTTGTTGTGGATGTATATAGTCTTATGTGTTTCACGCAATCTTTTTTTTCTCTCTCTCTTCTTTATTCTCTCTTTCATCTCTCATTTAGTGTTTGATTTGCGGTGTTAGGGGAGAGAGAGAGAGAGAGAGAGAGAGAGAGAGAGAGAGAGAGAGAGAGAGAGAGAGAGAGAGAGAGAGAGAGAGAGAGAGAGAGAGAGAAATATATATATATATATATATATATATATATATATATATATATATATATATATATATATATATATTATATATATATATATTATTATATATATATATATATATATATATATATATATATATATATATATATATATATATATATATATATATATATATATATATATACACATATATATATATGACTGCCGCGATAGCTCAGTGGTTAGAGCACTGGACTCCGACCCTCGTGGTCCCGGGTTCAATTCCCCGTCTCGGTCGTAAAAATGCCTGCGTTCTGACTGTTGGCTCGAGCCCGAGAAAACGACATATCGGCTTGAAAAGTCAAACGCAAGTGTCGTAGGGGAAGTCACCGCCGCGGGACAACTGTTAACGCGCCGAACCGCGGTTGATTAGGAAGGGCATTCAATCAGGCAAGGGTGACACTGCCATATAACCTCTCAATCCTGAATTAAGGGAGGCCTACGTCCTGCAGTGGAATGAATGGCTGTTGAAAAAAAAAAAAAAAAAAAAAATATATATATATATATATATATATATATATATATATATAGAGAGAGAGAGAGAGAGAGAGAGAGAGAGAGAGAGAGAGAGAGGGAGAGAGAGAGAGAGACAGAGACAGAGACAGAGAGAAATTGAATGATATAAAATGAGTGCATATATACAACTACAGCCCATTATCGGGCAGAGGCAAATGTATAAACATCTAATTTCTGAGTCTATCAACATTCATATCATAAAGATATTTATCTTAGTCTTACTCAATTCCCTGCCCCCTCCACCCCCACCTACCCCTTTCCTGCCAAACCCCACGCCATTTTTTTCTTCCTTTCTTTCTTTAATTTTCTCTTGTAATTTTCGAGTTTCATTAAATTTCCTTGCCCTTTCCCGCCAAACCTCCAATCCCATTTTTCTTTTCTTTTGGTTTCTTTTCTTTTCTCTTGTAATTTTCGAGTTTCATTAAGTTGACACTTTCCTCCCCCGCGAGCAGGTAGTGGACTCGACCAAGGAGACGAGCCAGAAGCTTATAGGAGATGTGGAGGCGACGACCAAGATGGTTAAGATAATATAGCTTTTTCTTCTTTCTTAAACTCTTTTTATTTCTCTCTTTTAATCTATCTTTTTAGCTTTTAATCTCTTTTTCTTTCTTTTAACCTCTTTTTTGTGCATTTCGTGTGTGGTTGTAGTTTTTTAGTCATGAGTTATTTTGTTTTTTTCGGTTTGTTTTTGATGTGGTTTTGAGAATCGACCAAAATAGTTGAGACGAAAAGTAGAATTGTGTTTTTGTTTCTGTTTTGTTGTAATTCTAAGCATTAGTTGTTGTTTTTGTTATATTTTGTGTGATTTTGATACTCGACTGAGATAGTTGAGGTGATTTTTTTTTTTAGTAGTTGTAATGATTAGTTGTTGGTGTATTATGTGGATCTAAAATTCAAATTTAAGCTTAAACTTTTTTTTTGAGTGTATTTTGAATCATTCTTATAGTTACTGTTATCATTTTATTAACAAATTTTATCAGTCGAGAAGTCTATGATTTTTTGTTTTCTTTTTTTTTTCATTTGAGTTTTTCTTTTTCTTTTTACTTTCGATAATTTGTCATTTTTATGTTTAATTCTGATAGTGTTATAATTGTAGTTTTCTTGTTTTGTTTTTGCGTATTCTTTTTTTGAGGAGGTGATTGTGAGACATCTTTTGATATATTTAAGTTATTTTGTAAGTTTTAATACTTGATAACTTGATAATTTTCCTTTTCTTTTTTCTTTCTAAGCTGAATATCATTTTTTTTCTTTTTTTTGTAGTTATGGTAATTAGTCTTTATTTTTATTTACAGGACTTTTTTTTTTTTTACTTTTTTTATCATAACAGCTCTTTTGCCTTTTATTAAACAAAGATCTGTATCTAATGAATCCGTTTATTAATCTGATTTATCATTCTTATCTTTTATATTTATGGTTTTACTTTACAGATGAATAACTAATCTTACTTAATTTCTGTATTAGAAAATTATTTATATTAATATTGTGTCCCTACGGCTGTATGGTGACACTATACATACTTATCCCCGTGTGATGTAATGGTGACGTAGAACATAACAGTGTTAATGGTGTGTTTTTTTGTTGTTTTTTTTTTTTTGGTAATGGTGGTTTGGGTAACCAAATTAACATACAATTAAGTGTAATAATAGAATTTGAATATATAGATAGATACATAAATAGATAGAGCGATAGACAGATATAGATATGGATATAGATATAGATATAAATATAGATGTGGATATAGATATTTTTCATTCCTTCTTTTGAAAAAAATAGAAAATTAAATTATGAAAATGTTTAAATTTTGTATCTCATCTAAATTAGATTAAACCAAGTGTCTGTCTGTGTATCTTGAGGCAAGTGTCTGTCTGTATATTACATATATATAGCAGTGGTGTTCATTTCGAGAATTTACAGAGCCCAAGACAACAAATTTTGAGTGTAAGCGTTTATTGTAGAAAATATATGTCACACTGTATATATTTGTCTGAAGTCTTGTCTCTCTTTTAATCATTTTGAACGAGCCAGATGTGTTGACATTCTAATCCAGATTTATAACTTATTAAAAACAGTTTGTTGTCGCAGTCATATTTTCCCTTCTATCTGCTCTCTCTTTCATTTTTCTCTCTCTCTATCTCGGTCTCTTTTTCTTTCTTTCTTTCTCTTTCATTCTCTTTCTCTCTTTTTTTCTTTCTTTCTTTCTCTCTTTCTTTTTCTCTTTCTCTCTCTCTCTCTCTCTCTCTCTCTCTCTCTCTCTCTCTCTCTCTCTCTCTCTCTCTCTCTCTCTCTCTCTCTCTCTCTCTCTCTCTCTTTGTCTCTTTCTCTCTCTTTCCCTCTCTATCTCTCTCTTTTTCTCCCTCTTGTCCTCTCTCTCTCCCTTCCTCCCTCCCTCCCTCCCTCCCTCCCTCTCTCTCTCTCTCTCTCTCTCTCTCTCTCTCTCTCTCTCTCTCTCTCTCTCTCTCTCTCTCTCTCCCTCTCTCCCTCCCTCCCTCCCTCCCTCCCTCCCTCTCTCTCTCTCTCTCTCTCTCTCTCTCTCTCTCTCTCTCTCTCTCTCTCCCTCTCTCCCTCCCTCCCTCCCTCGCTCCCTCGCTCCCTCTCTCTCTCTCTCTACAGCGACATCAGAGCCAAAGATTTAGCAATTTGGGAAAGAGTTATATCATCTCAGTGACGTTCCCTCTGATGTTTTAATACTTCCGTCAACGTCTTTATCGTTGTGTGTTTGTTTGTCTCTTTTCGATGTTGACCTGAAATCTTTAACCTTTGGTCTCGAAGACTTTTTTTTTTGTTATCTTTTTTATCCTTTTTAATCCTTTTTTTCTTTTTGGTTTGTTTGTTTTTCCTCTTTTTATTTTTTTCTGGTTTGTTTTCATTTCTTTCATTCATTCTTTTTGATTTTGATTTTCTTCTGTTTTTTCTTCTTGTGTTTTTTTTTTTTTTCTTTTTCATCTTTTCTTCTTCACGCTTCTTCTTTTCCTTTTGCTTCCTTTTTTCCTCTTCTTCTTCTTTCTTCTTCTTTCTTCTTCTTTCTTCTTCTTCTTCTTCTTCTTTTTCTTTCTTCTTCTTCTTCGTCTTATTTCATCATCTTCATTATTATTATTACTATCATTATTATTATTATCATTATTATTATTATCATTATTTTTATTATTACTATCATTATTATTAACATTATGATCATTATTATTAATATAATTGATTATTATTACCTTTCTGCTTATTTCCCTCCTTCTTAGTCATTTCTTTCTTTCTTATTCTTCTTCGTTTGATTTCTTCCCATCTCTATTAATGCTTCCCTCTCTTCTTCTTTTCGTAGGTTTTTTCGTTCTCAGTTTCCCAATTCTCTTTTCCCACTTTTTTTTATTTATCTTTTTTTTTTTCCTTATTTGGTAACAGCAATAACGGCTTTACCAGCTGTTTTGTTTAGTCTTCCCTCAGAGAAATAGTTATTGCCCTGGTCTCATTTTCCTTAGTTACCCCCTAATTTTGTGAGGCCAGACAGCCTCCCTTGAGCCCATTTTCTGTTTCCTTTTTTACCGTTTTCTTCTTCTTTTCTTTTTTTATTTTTTTCTTCTTTCTCGCTTCTCTATTTGTTCTTGTTCTTATAATTATCTTTAAGCTTAGTCTTATTAGGTTTTCCGAGTTCTGTCCTGTCTCATTTTCCTTAGTTACCCTCTAATTTTGCGCCCATGTTATACATTTCCCATTTTCTGTTTCCTTTTTTCCATTTTCTTCTTCTTCTCTTTTTTT